ATATTTTGGGGAACACAATACCACCACAGAGGATTGTGAATCACCCACACCAGCACATTTTCACATTCAAGGGCTAGGACTCTGGGCTGTTCAGATGGACCCTCATGTAGACCAAGGACTTGATTCAGACACTCTGCCTTTCTAGAAATGAGCCCCTTATTTCACATCTGGTAGTGACTTTGAGTGACAGGCTTTCTTTTAGAATTGTGGGCTGTGTGACAGTGCACATCATTTCAGTGACAACAGTGGCAGAGACTGAGTTAATTCCATTTCCCTCTTCAGGTCCTGCTAAATCATTGCTGCAGGGAAAAATAAATTTCCCTTTCTCAGACCAATCGTGGTGTGTTCTGGGGAAGCTGGAGGCTGAAAGAGGGTCTGTTAGTGGCCTTAACAGTACTTAAATAGCATCGTATTAGTTGACTCTCCGTCACCACTATCAAATACCCGAGGTAATGAACTGGTAGAGGAAAGGTTTATGGTGGCACACAGTGTTACAGGTTCTGGAACACGGCTGGGTACGCCAATCATCCGTGGAGGTGCCAAGTGTCATCAGGATGGAGACGGCATATGTCAGAAGAAAATCACTTCATGTCCAGGAACTAAAAGAGGAAGAGAGATCTGGGGTTCCACGCTCCCCTGCCCCAACGGCTTGCCCCTAATGACCCAAGTTCCTCTCACCAAACCCCTTTTCCAAAAGATCCACCCATAGGACCACGCCTTCTGGCCTTGGGAGGACACTTGTTATCTGTCTTAGTTTTTCTTCGTGTCACCATGGTAAAATGCTCTGACGGAAGCAGTTTGAGAAAGAGTTTACTCTGGCTCACAGTCCAAAATACAGTCCACCATGGTGGGTGAGTCAAGGCAGCAGGGACTTGAAGCATTGGCCACATCCAATACACAAATGGGGAGCAGAAAACGATGGATGCAAACTGATGCCAGGTAGGGAATGGTGCCACCCACAGTGGGCAAATCTTCCTGTCTCGTCGTATGTGATCAAGGTAATCCCTTATAGGCATGCCCAGAGGGTGGTTTCCAGGTTAATTCTAGATTTCTCAAGTTGACAACACTAACCAACATCCAGATTGTGGCAAACCTATCTCAGAGCTTGTTGTTAAAGTCCCTGCCTTTAACCTGGTGAATGACTTACATCAGGATCTTCTTCCTAGATTGAAGGAGAATGGTGACATGAAATTGTAACCGTGTCTTGACTAAATGATTATTTGTTTTTAGTGCACTATCTCAAATATATATAAATAAAATCATTGGTTATGCTGCTCCCTGGATTGTATGAGTTTTGGGGTGAATATCAAAAATTAAAATTATAAGCCAAACAATGGTGGTGCACACCTTTAATCCCAGTACTCGGGAGGCAGAGGCAGGTGGATCTCAGTGAGTTCAAGGCCAGCCTGGTCTACAGATGGAGTTCTAGGACAGGCAGGACTGTTACACAGAGAAACCCTGTCTCAAAAAAATAAATAAATAATAAAATTGTAGACTTTGGAGTCGTGGAATTAGGCAGTCTCAATGAGGATGGAAACTTGCCAATGGTTTTCTCTTCCTACCAGAAGATGCTGGCTGCTTAGGATGGATGTTCTGGTACAAGGGTTCTAACAGGCTACAAGGGATGAGTTACATGGATTGCCCCGGGGTGCTATGTGGGAGGAGCACCCAGTAGATTAGGGGAGACATGAAGGGAACATGGAAGCACTCCCTAGAGTAGGGACAGTGGGGAGTGTGCTCTGAGACTGTGGGAGATGCACATGCTTTATCTACGCCGCATTGGAGTTCTTTGCTCCAACCCGTCTAGCATGCACAAAGCCCAGGGGTTGATCCCCAGCCACCCATAGACCAGGTATGGAGGTACACACCTGCAGCCCCATCCTAGCACTCCAGATGTAGAGGTAGGAAAATCAGAAGTTCAAGGTCACCTTGGACTAGATAGTGAATTCAAGACCAGCCTGGAATATGTGAGAATCTATCTAAAAAAAAAAAGATATAAAGAGAGAGAGAGAGAGAGAGAGAGAGAGAGAAAAAAAAAAAAAAAAAAAAAAAAAAAAAAGATCAAAATATGCTTGCCTGTAACTAGAATCCGCATGTCCCTCTGCTGCCCACTGGCACTGTGCCCTGGGCACAAACAGGCAGGCGCCCAGAGGAAGTCTGGCTCATATGATTGACAAGCGAGCAAGTCAGTGGGATTTCCCTACTCCACAGCAACCTCAGGTGCACTCCAGCGTCAGCGTCTGATGGACTCAATCATCAGCAAAAACTATAAAAAGCCCCTGTCAGGGAGCAGCCGTCCTTTGAGAAGTGTGAATACGAGGTAAATGAGCAGCTTCTGCAGGGACAATTTTATAGGAGTGAGAAACTCCGCGGTAGAGCAGACTCCGGGAAATGACAAGTGGTCTCCAGACTTCTCCTGCTCCCTCCTCTCAGCCTGCTTGCCGCTCACCCAGCTTTCGGCAAGCTTAGGTTTTTGGTTGTTTCTTTTTTAACCCTCATTTGTTGAGACCCTGATAAATAGCCCAGAACTCCGAGTAAGGTCCAGCCAGCTATTGAAAAATAAGCATTTATCTTTTCCAAAAGTTAGGCCTGGATATTCTCAAAAACGAGAGAGCCACTTTGAAAAGACATTCTAGGTATGCAGTCGTTTACTGGTTCTGGTTGTCATTTGTATTCCATGTCAGAGAAAGGAGTTCAGATCCAGGGCTCCTATTAGTCACTTTTCTTGTTACTGTGGAAAAAAAATACCTGGCAAGTGGTTTAAGGAAGAAAGGATTTGATCTGGTTCACAGTTTTGCAGGTACAATCCATGATGGTGGAGAAAGCAGAGCACAGGAGTGGGGAGCGTGTGGCCACATGATGTCCACCGTCAGGAAGCAGAGGGAGATGAATGCTGTGCTGGGCTTGGCATTCGCCTTTCAGCCCAGACCCAGCCTACGGGATGGTGCCACGCACATTAAGGTGGATCTCCCCTCCTCAGTTAAGCCTCTCTAGAAACAAACACACACACACACACACACACACACACACACACACACACACACACACACAAACACACAAAACTGTATCTCTTAGGTGACTCTGAATCCAGGCAGGTTGACAATTATAGGGAATTGTTAGCTTGATATTTTCACT